TTGCCGTCAAATGAATCGGAGACGATGATTTTAAAATCGGACGGTCATGAAGGAGACTGTAGTAAGAGAGAATGTTCATGTAATTATAAAGAGAGATTGAGAAGAATTTTACAGGATAGAGGAAATAATCATTTAATAATAATATCATCTTACTCAATGATTTCTTCGTTTTTTAATTAAATAATTTGTTTATTAAAATAATTACTAATTAAGGGGCCATGGTCCAGTAAAGATGGGCCTAAACATGTACAATGGTGCAAATGATTGCATTTTTTATTTTTAGGTGTCGATTTTGATGTGTTTTTTTTTACTTTATAATTCAAACAATTTCATGTAATTAATACATTAGTAGGAAATTTCGTAAATTTTGGAGTTAAATTTTGATCGTAACTTTAACTATCTGAAATATTACACTAAAACACTTCAGATAGTTAAAGTTACACTAAAACACTGCAAATAGTTAAAGTTACAATAAAACACTTCAAATAGTTAAAAGTTACACTAAATTCTTCATAGTATAGTGGAATTTCCTTGGCGGCTGCTTAGACTTCAACAACTCTATCCCAATAGTCATTCTTATCTGTTGAGAGTTTTAAACTCCGAACTGAGTTCCATGTGTAAAGTACGAGAACGTGGAACTCACGGCTTTGCAAGTCACGGATAATTTAGTTGAAATCAACATCGCCGGTGATCACGCAGAAGACTGCTCCTGTATCTAGGTGTTCCTCCATCCATTCTTTGATTTCAACTATGCTAGCTTTGTCCGCCGCGTCGGTTGAATCCCTTGTAACTGAAAAACAATATTTAAAAGCTTCATAAGCAAAATCTAACTCGACAATGCATCAGATTAAAACTCCAAACTCAAGAATTCCTTTGCATCAAACTAATAACCAACAAAACTCTCCCTAGGCAAAAATCAAACTCCAAAATAAAAATTTCAATCCGTTTTCATAAGAAAATTTAAGAAATACCTTTTTGGACACGGTGGAGTGAGACCCTTTGATTACCGGTCAAGTCTTTGTGCTGGTCATGAGTAAAAGAAAGCTTATCGTCTCCAAAACCGTGTATTTCCACAACACCACAATATCCTTTTTTTCTTAAGAACTTTTCGATATTGAATCGAAATTTCTTGATCAGCTTGTCTTTTTTTCCAACAGTGTCATTTGGTACGTATGCACATTCGAAATCCCATATTGTGTAAATCTTGCAGTACTTGTAATCAATAGGCTCTCCCTTCGTGTCCTAGTATTGATAATCGGAAAGCAATGACACAATCCAAGGAAAAAGCAGAAAGGTAATGATTTCTCTGTTTCATCGTGGTGTTGCCCACCAGCCACCACTTCGTCTTCTCCAGTGGAGCTACCATCAATCGTTTCAAAAGCTTTCATCAATTCCCTTCAAAAGATTGCCGTAACCGATAGAATGATTTCTCCACCATCTCCATCGCTTCTCGTTGATTTGATCTTGCCTCTTGTGGCTGGAAAACTTGTAGGGTTTAGAGGAGGAAGATGGAAGAGATTTGAAAAATTGGATCTACAATTTGACTCGTGCAAATGCTTTGAATTATAAAGCAAAAAAAAACACATCAAAATCGACACCGGAAAATAAAAAATGCAATCATTTGCGCCAGTTTTTCACGAGTCAAATTGTAGATCAAGTCGTGAAAAACTGGATCTACAATTTGACTCGTGAAAAACTGGTGCAAATGATTGCATTTTTTATTTTCTGGTCTCGATTTTGATGTGTTTTTGTTGCTTTATAATTCAAACAATTTCATGTAATTAATACATTACTAGGAAATTTCGTAAATTTTGGAGTTAAATTTTGATCGACCACTAAATAATAAACTTCAAAGATTCATGAAAAGCATACTCATCTTTGTTTTTGACTTTAAGAGATGTATTTACATAACTTTAGACGTTAAGAATATTATTGAAATCATAAGAGAAACAAGTAAATGCGATGTGGCTTTGGTTCAAAGTCACTTCATAGACAAATGATAATGTTAAAAAGAACATTTTACTCTTCTTCATCTCAAGCAAACTCACAATTTCTTTGAAGAATAAAAGAAAATTATTCCATAAAGACATAATTGGTCTCATGATAGTGATCATCCTTAAAGACATCATTGGTCTCAACCTTAAAAAGTGAACAACAACGATCCAATCCAGCTCTCATGATCTGTCATGGATTGTTAACAGAACATGTCTTTGTACTCTTTTGTGTTTTCTGTATGAGAAAAAGAAAAAGCTTCACAGAAACTGAGACGACTTATGAACTGTTTACAGAATCTGAGTCTTCATCAAAAAGTCCTTGATTATCTGTTTAAATCCTATATTAGCATCAAAGAAACAAATTTAGGAACTTTCAGGATCAGCAAAATGACCCATCTAGAAAGATTTTAGTGCTTTTGTCACCACTGGTTAGCCGCGGTATCCCGGCACTTCTCATCATCGCCCAGAGCTAACGGCTTTATACCTTTTGACCGGTTACTAAACAGTCTCTCGGATATTCTATCTTTAGCCGTTGTTTTCTTACGCCGAGACGAGGAAAAGGTTTGTTTCTTGTTCTTTCTTGCAGCAAAAACTCTATCAAACTCTTCGTCGATAACAGCTGATCTAGAAGTTGAGGCCATAGAAGCCTCACGCAGAACTTCATAATTATGTTCCCTAACCTTAAGCTTAACAAGCTTTGCTTTTTTCTTCATCAACTCTTTGTCTTTCTCCCCGATATTCCTCAGAGCCTGTTTCGCTATTTGCCTAGCTAACTGATTAGGATCAGAATCTGAAGTTGTTTCATCCATAACCACGTCCTGGTTGATCCCTGCAGATGAAGTGGAAGTTTGGTCTTCACTTTCATCCAATGGAGATTCCTGGATTATGGGGTTTCCTTCATCATCCCGAGGTACAATGGCTCCGTGAAACGGGCAGATTCGTAGATCTCTTCTCTGGCAAAGACCACCTTTCTTTAGAGGAGCACGGCATGGAGGTGTCTCTGTTCTCTCTTCTCTATAAACAGTTGCCTGAAGATTCAATTCTGCTATTTTATCTGCGGGAATTACAGCATCTTGATCCACCCTTCCCCAGTGGCTCTCGACCTCTAAACCCCGGTGATTAGCTCGAACTTCCGCAGTTGAGTCCCAATTACTCAACTGTGATCCCCAATTCATCACCGGTGCTTCAGAAATTAGCTTATCTCGAAGAGAGTTTCCACTGCTTCCATCTTTTTTAGTGCTTGACGCGTTATTGGAGTTTCCACTGCTTCTATCTTTTCTTCTGCTTGGCGCTTTATAGGACCTAGTTTCTGATGTAGCCCTAATTGTTTCACTTAATGATGGTAAGGACGAACCCTCACCGTGCTGACTTCTCATCGCAGGATCCACGCTCTTGACTGAATCAGTTCCAACCTTGCCATCATCCTCCTCCCAGATATCTTCTTCCTCCTCGTTTGTTTCTTCGTTCTCCCATGTACCAGTTATTTTCAAAAATGTAAAACCAGCTTCTTCGTATTTCTTTTTAGTGGCCAATATGTTGTTCTTAATATCAATGAACTCTTTCAACATGGAATCTCTCGTTCTGTTATCACTTACGTCAACCTTGATGAGAAGAGAGATCCCTTCTTCGACCGAGACTAGATGCTTGGTCACTAGAAGCTTACACTTTTCCCTCAATACATCGAATACGACTCTGTTTTCACTAGTTTCTTCAACCTTATCTGACTGTTTCAGCGAATCAAGACGAATTTGCCTCAGATGAGAACAACGTATCTCCTCGTAATCTTCCTCATCTAAGATCGCAAGTGGAATACCATCATCCCCTCTCCATTGAACAATTTCCAAACACTCCTTAATCTCCTTTATTGTTTCATCAATCTCACCCGTTAAGATTCTAAATTGTTTCCTCAAGAAATCAAACTTCTTTCGTAGAATCTCTTTAGTC